TTCTGACAGTTCTCCGCATTAATGCATACTCTACAATATTTATTTCGGACAGCCATGTGCAAAATTTTTCCAGTTTCTGCACCACAAATTGTGCCAACACCTGACAAAAGGTTTGTTCTTTCCAGCTGAACTAGTGCTGCACTGGTTCAGAACTGGAACTGGCGAGTACAGCAAAAGTTCATAGGTGCAGACATGCCAGATAGGCATGGAAAGAACGCCTTAGTGCACAATAGTAGAGGAAAATAACATGGCGCAAAACGTAATGTTAGACGAGAATTATTCTTCAGATGAAGAATTAATTATACCTGCGTTAATGTTGCCACCATTGCACGCAGAACCTATCTGGGATGAAGAGGATGATGGTAATTTATTTCCATGTGGCAAAAGTGATTAATATTAAGAAAAAAAAAATTTCAGAAAAAGTATCTAACCTAAAAATTGTATTTTATAGATGATGAGTTACGAGTATTACACCCAGTTTTTGGAAGGATTCAAAGAATCCAACATATCAAAATCCAGAATTACGTGGAGAATATTGTGACAAATTATACAGACATCGATTTTATTATAGGTTTGTTCGTTGTCACTGCACTAGTTCTGAACTAGTTCTACACTTGCACTGAACTGAACTGAACGGAACTGAACTAAACTGAACTATTTCACATCAGTGCAAACGCGCACTGAAAGATAAACGAACGCGATAGTGCAGTAAACAACATTTGGTGTAATGGCGTAGCGACACTCAACGAATAGTCCGCTTAGCCAAACATTGAAGCGAAGTGAAGTGAAGTGAAGTAAACAATATGGCACATTATATTGCTCTTCTTGATTCTTCAGATGAAGATGAATTTTTTGATATAGCACCACCATTAATTCGTCCAATTGATATGGATGAAGACAATGAAAGTAATAAATAATTAAGTGTAACAAATTTAATAGTGATATTTTTTATCATTTTGTAAATATTAAGAGAATTTTACCCATATATATAACTTTATATATTTTTGCTATTTACAGACCAAAATGTATTACAAATGTTGCACCCAGTTTTGGGAATTATACAAAGAATAGAACATGTGAGAATACGAAATTATATAGAACATATTGTGCATAATTATAATAATGTCGATTTTATTATGCATTTTCGCTTATCTAGACAAGTTGCGTACAGTTTGATGGAACAATTCGCAGTCTCTGATATATTTATCTCCATAGACAGTATGTATTATAACATATATTATTTTATTATTTGTTCGCATAACAATTTAGACAATGTACTTAACAAAACATGAAGAAGGGAATAAAAAGGAGGCAATATTCTTCTTATTAATAAAAGAGAAAAATACTTCTGTTTTCGTTAGTGTAAGAAATATAATTATAGTATTTTCTATTTCAGATCCAAGAGGACACCCAAAAATAACAGCTGAGAAACATATATTATGTTACTTATGGTTCGTAGGCCATGAAAGTGCCTCATATAGAGACGTAGCAGATCGATTTGGCGTAACAATAAGTAGTCTGTACCAAATTATTAGTAGAGTGACAGCTTTCATTTTATCTCTTGCACCTCGCATCATTAAATATCCCAGCTTAGTTGAGAAGCAAGAAATTGCTGCATTTTACGAAGAAGAGAAAGGATTTCCTGGTATAATTGGTAATACATTTACATATTTATATATTCAAAAACACTTATTCAGCAATATATTTTTGTATGACATTTTATTTCTAGGTGCTATTGATGGGACCCACATTAGAATAAACAAGCCAATAGAAGATCCTGATTCATACATAAATCGTAAACAATATTTTTCTTTACACATCCAGGGAACAGTAAACCATAAAATGAAATTTATGGATGTGTTTATTGGATATCCTGGTTCCGTACACGATGCAAGAGTATTCCGTAATTCACCTATATACAACGATCTACGTGAACTGTGTGGAGGTAAGAAATAATAAGAAATACAAGCGTAATTAATTAATATCTCAAAATTATGATTCTTTTTGCAGATACTTATTATATCTTGGGCGATAGTGCATATCCTTGCCTTAAACAATTACTTGTGCCATATAAAGACAACGGACATATGACGCGTGCACAAAGACTTTTTAATATTAAATTAAGTTCTTGTAGAGTTGTTGTGGAGAACACATTTGGATGTCTGAAGCAACGATTTAGACAACTGTACCATTTCAAATTAAGAGATATAATACGAATGGTTCAAGTAATACATGCGTGCTGTGTGCTGCATAATATGGCAAATATTGAAGAATTAGAAATGTTTGAAGCACCTTTAGATGACGAGTACCCCGATAACGAAGCACAAAACCCACATATTGAAATAAATGATATACCAAGGGAACCCGACAATGGAATACATATCCGCGACGAAATATGTCGAATACTTTTTACATAGAGTTTGTTTTCTATTCCTGCACTGCTGAAATGGTGCGATAAGTTCGAGTGACACAATTATATTTTTTCTCGCTCTAACTTCTTGCACCAGTTCAGCAGTGCAGGAACGAAAATCAAACCTATAATTTGTATATTTAAACATTTTAATCGAAATAAACGATATTACACATTTTATTAGACAATTGTATATTTTTCAATATTGCTTTATTATTACATATATACATGCTTTCTTCAGAAGTGTAACTTAGTAGTAGAGTGTCTGCTTCACATAAGTGCTTTATTCTTATTATTGTATGTAATTGTACATGTTTTTATAACAAGCAGGAAATAAATGTTTATATATTTAAACAACTGTTCATATATTTAATATTAGAATATTAAAATAAATATATACTCACAACACTAAATAAATTTGTTTTAAAACGAAATATGTAACAACAAAACATTAAAGAAACTTAAATATATAAAATCCTTGCAACTCGATAATATATAATTATTATCGTCAATAAATTAATAAATATAATATCTTATAAGTGCTCAAAATAAAGGCCATAACATACAGAAAAACATAGGGCCAGAGCACTGACTCTTGCATAACGCATAATACGTAACGCATAAGGGAATAAACTAATCAGATTTCTTCATTTCCCTCCTCAGTATAGAAATAAAGAACTCTGATTGGTTTATTCCCTTATGCGTTACGTATTATGCATTATGCATAATACGTATGCAAGAGTCTGTGCTCTGGCCCATAAGCAGTAAGGAAATTGACCGATCATAGTTAATTATTCTCTTTACTGTTGAGGAATTATCAACTGTAATTGGTCAATTTGTTCACTGTTTACATCTTATGCAGGATTCACACCGCGTCCGATGTCCGACATACGACGTCCGATATTGAAATAGAACAATTTTCCAAAGGAGAATTCAATTCTCCATTGGAAAGCTGTTCTCCTATTGGATATCGGATGTCGTATGTCGGATGTCGCACGCGGTGCGAATCCTGCATTACTGTTTAAGTAGATTATTTTGCCGCACTAGTCCATTTTGTTGCCAAAGTCATATTTTAAAATAATGTACCCAGTAAGCAGAAGCTCGCAAATCGATACATTACCCAGGCAGCAGAATGACGTGTTAAGACGTCTTAATGACGTGACAGACGTCATTAAGATGTTATTAATACGTCATGTGACGTCACTCTGCCGCCTGGGTAGCCATCGTTAAGGTATCTTTAAGAGTTGTTTAAGAAACGTTATTTAAAACATTTCTTAAAGAACTGTTAAAGATATCTTAAAGATGGCTAATGTGTCGTTTCGACAGCTTCTGCTCAATAGGTATATATTCTGTTTTGCTATTTTCTTAAGTGCAATTTTCTTTAACAAGTTCTTTTATTAATTCTTTTAAAAGTTCATTTTTCTCCTGTCTTAATTCGTTGCTTCTTGTGAGTTGTTTTATACATTCTTCGTATGAAATTCTCATTTTTTGGTATTCCGCTAACATTTGGTTTTGTATATCACATTTATTGGTTATTCCCTCTTGAATTTCAGTCGCTACTTTTTGTAGAGTTTGTTGACACGTATCCAACAATCGAGCTGTTGTGCCCATTTGCTTTCTTGCGTTTTTTTCTGGGTTGTGTCTATATAACATGTTTTCGAATATATTACTACAAGTTTTTAGAAGTATTAATACCGTATATTTGTGCTACATTTGGTTGGTTGAAATTGCTTACAAGTATGCATGGACTATTCTGTTGTGAGGTACTTGCTTCTTCTGTCTGGGCGTGTTCTTCTACATTTGGCATTGGATTTGAGTCAACAACCATCTTTTCTGCATATCTATAATGAATGAATTATAAATGGATAAAATAATAATTTCAATAAGTAAAACATGGATTTATATTTGATGTAACGTTGTAGAACCACACATTATTACACAATACATAATTAAATATATAATTTATTTATTTTCATGTTTCCATTAGTATGCAATAATTAAAACCGGTATTTATAGCAGGATCTTATATTTTATATCGTCTTAAATATATCTGTACATGTTTCGTAGCCCATAAAACAATCTGTATAACATCAGATCATGAACTTTAAATGGTTTTACATATAAGATCCTGCTATGAAAACCGACGTAAGACTTAAGTATCGGCTACAGTACGTACGCAGAAGTATTTGCTGCCACGTCCTTTCGTACAGTTAAGCCACGGTTGCTTGATACAGCTAAAGGTTCAATGTTGTGTTTTGCACCCAACAAGTCAGTCAATTCTCTACAATTACGCACGTTTATTGCAAATATTAATTTCTTATACTCTTTTTAAGATTCTTATTTCTTCATTGCATTGTCTTAAATAATAATGTCACAAACAAAAAAATACATGCCCACAATTCTAGCAAAGTACATTTCAATGAATCGATTAATTATTACATGAGAACTTACGTTTCGTATGGACACGACATACGACCTCTACCAGTCTTTTTATTATTACAAATCATATTTTTGTACGATCTCTCAAGAGACTTGTACTTATTTTCCACTTGTATTGCACTCAGATGATATCCATTCTCTTGCATCTGTCTAGATATTTTATCCCACAACATCTTCTTTGTTTACAATTTTCTACCTGTTAATAATTCTTTTGCATCCTTATATATAGCTAAAAATAACTTTGTACTTGCATCACACCAATTAAATGACTCACTTAAGTTTTGTTTATTGATTTCTCCAGTGGCATTAACATTTGATATTGCAGAATTATTTTCTTTATTTATTATTGCACTGTCATTTTCTGGCATATTTTCACTTAACGATATCCATACTTCTGTCCCATTTACAGAACACAGCAGATTGTTGCTACTAAAATCTATATCCTCGTATCGAATTTCAAATTCAGTTCCATCTGTTAATATATATTTTAATTCTTTAACAAAAATTGTGTCAATAATATATTTTCATGAGTAAAACAATTTCATACCTTTGGTAATGCATATAACGTTTCCATTGGGATTAACAATCAGGCGTCCATTTGTATCTTTTTTAATATGTGCCCATTCCATGTTTATATTTTATATTTTGGTCTTGTGTCTAAAAGTTTAATTAGTTTAATTAGCATACACAAGTTATAATAAATATCAATAAGTCTTAAAATTTAGAAACGAGACTCCCACAAAATGTAATAACACTTAATATTGTGTATTCTGTTTATAATTATCTATGAGCTTTTACTTCTATTTTTTTTTTAATAGACATACTACAACATTACTACTACATTATTATACAACTACTAAAATAATTACAATACACGAAAAATACTTTTCTTTGTTCGATATTTGTGGTTAGGTATTACTTACTTGTTGACTTGTTCACTATTCAGTAATATTTACCGGCTTTAACTTGCGGTAGATCCCAGGTAGCACAGAAAATTCGGAGAATATTCGTTGAACGTTCAATAGCCCTACAACAAATGTTCAACGAACATTTTCCGAACTATTTGTGCTACCTGGGATATATGTCCTTTTTAACTGACCTAACTGTACTAGTGTAAGAAATTCAGTGCTGAACTGTCTGCACTAGCTCTCGACTCAGTGCGGCCAGTTCAGTGAACTGTTGCACTAAACGATGTTGCACTGTCGACAACGAACAGCTTGTATGACGTCATTATCGGTAAAGAAAACGCTTTAGTGTTGCACTCCTTGCACTAGTGTGCACTAGTTCAGTAGTGCAGTGACAACGAACAAACCTTATGCACTTTCGATTGTCAAGGGAAAAGGCATATGGACTAGTCAATCAATATAGGATATCTGATATATTTATGTCTCTGCAAGGTATATATTATTGTGTATATTTGTATATAAAATACTTGATATGCGTGTAATAAGTAAAATATGTTATTTTCAACATGAAGGAAACTGACTTTGTATTTTATATTTAGATGATGCTGGGCGTCCTAACATAACAGCAGAAAAACATATATTGTGTTATCTGTGGTTTGTAGGACACGAAAGTGCATCTTACCGTGATGTTGCTGATCGATTTGATGTGACATTAAATAGTTTATATAATATAATAAGTAGAGTCACACAATTTATAATGTTATTAGCGCCTAACATCATAAAATATCCGACATTAGCGGAAAAAGAAGAAAGCGCAACATTTTATAGAGCAAAAAACGGATATCCTCGCATAATTGGTAATGTAATCATGTTTATATTCATGTAAGATACATATTTAATGCATCTTCTTTATTCCAGATAGGTTCTGCCTATCATGCCTGACATGCATATTTTAAATAAACCTCGTTATCTTACAGGTGCTATTGATGGTTCACATATTAGGATAGATAAGCCAATAGAAGACCCAGAATCCTATATTAATAGAAAACAATATTTTTCATTACATCTGCAAGGCACAGTGAACCATAAAATGAAATTTATAGATGTTTTTATAGGATACCCAGGATCAGTCCATGATGCGAGAGTTTTTAAAAATTCATCATTGCGTAACGATTTACATGAATTGTGTGCAGGTTAGTTAACAAATGAAAAAAATAATATAAGTTATAATACATGATGTTCAAAAATTTATATTCTAATTGATACACTAATCACGAATTTTCTTTTAGATAATTATGTTTTACTTGGAGATAGTGCGTACCCATGTTTAAAAGAATTGATCGTACCATATAAAGATAATGGACATTTGTCGCGTGCACAGAGGAATTTTAATCAAAAACACAGTTCCTGTAGAGTAGTAATTGAAAATGCATTTGGGTGTCTCAAGCAACGTTTTAGACAATTGTACCATTTTAAATTGCGTAATATGGTACGTATGGTACGCGTAATACACGCATGCTGTTTGCTTCATAATATAGCAAATGAAGAAGATTTGCAATATCTTGAAGCACCTATGAACGATCAGCATCCTGACATAGAAGCACAAAATTTACTCTACCACATTGATGAAGTAGCACAAGAACAGGAAAGTGGAACACATATCCGAGATGAAATATGTCAATTACTAGCTGAGCAATAAGACAAAAACAACTGTTTCTTTATATTTAAATGCATTTGTGTTATGTACTTTTATACTATATATATATATATATATATATATATATATATATATATATATATATATATATATATATA